TATATATATATATACAGTACACACATATTTTGGTAATTTTATGAAATCGATTGTCTCGGAAATATTCGTACTACGTACTACGTAAAATTGTTGAAATAATTGCAATCTTAAAATACTAAATTAATCAAGCGCTCTGCTATCTAATATTATTTAAATAATCGTTGATGCGAAACATATTAAGGATTTAAAATGTGATAAAAAAATGAATATAATTTGGAGAAAAGAAATAATATTGCTGTGTTCGCAAAAGCAGCTTCCTCCACGGAATGGTGGACAGTTTAAAAGAATCTAACGAGATGAGATATAGAATATTCGTTACGACGCACACCTACACATGAAGGAAATACGATTTTATTAATAGGTAACATAACAATCAGGACAGCTCCCGTGGGAGATAAGACTTTGTTCCTAGCTTCCCCTAACAGGTTCGTCCTGACCTGGTTTTACCGGAACATTTGCAAACAATTCCGGAGCGACGTTGAAAACCACCGTTCTCCATTGTGCACCGTAACGAGAATGAATAAAGGAACGTACTGTCGAAAGTTTTGATTCTTCGGCCGATTGCTGGAACTTTGTTTTCCAACTCGTTAATCTTTCCAAAGAATCGAAAACTTAATTATATGTACAACAGCTCTGCTCGCCAGCCGGCGATCTATCATAATTTTTATCAGAGTAAAAATGTCTGGGAGCAGACGGCGGAACGTCGAAAGAAAGATAAAAATAAATTACCGAATGAATTAATAAATTGCAATAAGTGGAGATATGAAATTTATATAACGGTATACGAAAGTGTTTTAATATTGAAGGCAGCGAATGTTAATATTCAATCAATCATGGCGAGTGTGACTCATCAGGGTGAGCTTAGAAATCTAAAATTAAACGATTGATGTTAGTGGGGAAGCAATGTGAAGTAATTATTAGTAAGAGAAAAAATAAAAAAATATGCTTGATTTCTTGCTTACATTTTTAGAAGAAATATGGAATATAGAAGGTACAGTCACGAAGTGGTTCATAAACAATTAAGTCGAATAGACAGAACTGACGCAATGTGCAAGAAAGCTATGAGTTAACGGATATCCGTGTATGAGGTGGACGTATCCAATTAATTAATAGTTGTCAGAAGCGTTTATTTTTATGACGTCATTTATACACTCTCAAAATTCAAAACATCTCAATTAATCAGATCTCAAAATACCTTTGTGAATAGAAAAA